ACACACTACAGAGTACACGACCGCACTGCTACGCCATCTTGGATACTAATGTAATAAGTCATCTAATGTAATGTGTCTTATTAAAACCTGGTCCCCTTGTGGGTCCCCCAGGACCAGTATTAGGAAAGCCTTATTACATTTACATTGTAGTCATTTAGCAGGCGCTCTTATCCAGAGCGACTTACAGTTAGTGAGTGCATACATTATTTATTTATTTTTCATACTGGCCCCCCGTGGGAATCGAACCCACAACCCTGGCGTTGCAAACGCCATGCTCTACCAACTGAGCTACTACTTATCTAATGGAATTGTGATGAGTGTGATGAAAGGAGTCAGGCGCAGGAGGGTAATCACCGAATACAGAGTTTATTCCTTCGTTGACACACAAATGCGCTCAAATAGCGATCAACGAAACAGGCACAGGGGAAACTCTCATCCCTGGCAAATACACTGTAACGGTAGAATCCAATAATACATAGGCACAGGGGAAAATCTACCCTGGTAACTAAATGTACGAGTAGCTCCACCGAGCTATACTACTCTCACAACTAACAATCACCCACAAGGACAAGGGGGCAGTGGGAACACTTATACACGGACTAATGAGAGGATTAGAACCAGGTGTGTGTGATTGACAAGACAAGACCAATGTGATGATGATTGGGGTGGCAGTGGTTAGTAAGCCGGTGACCACGAACGCCGAAGCCTGCCCGAACAAGGAGGGGAGGCAGCCTCGGCCGAAGTCGTGACAGGAATAATGTGTTTCTGAGTTCCTTCCTACCAGACAGCTCCATCACTCCTGATATTTGGAGTTGTTGAAGATCCATCATCACCTCCTATTTTAAATAAAGGGAAGGATATGAGAATTGAGTGATGCTGGTTGAAATGGCTTTCAGACACCCTCTGACTTTGAGGCGTATATCAGTATTTTACCCACATAACTCTTTGCAGTCTAGGGGTTCTCAAACTTTTTGGGTCCGGGGACCTCTGTTGTGATAGCAAATTCATCAGGGACCCCCTCATAATCAGAACACAACTCGAGTGCGATAAAATTAGTCTACAAGGAGTTTTACTATGACGTCTACAGTGCAAGACTGGACGAACCAAGTCTCAGACACTGGGAAAGAACATTTAAAAGCCCCGCTTTCTTGGCATCAGAGAGAAAATGTTGCAGCTTTAAAGCTAATATCCTGCAATTATACACATTTTGAGGGAATAGTACTGTGGATACCAATATCCCTGTGAGCCTACCAGGCCCATGTTGCCCAGGGTTAAGAACATACATTATTAATTTATTTAACCTTTATTTAACCAGGAAAAGCCCATTGAGACCCAGAGTCTCTTTTTTCAAGGGAGACCTGGCCAAGACGGCAGCAACAATCAATACATTACAGAATTAAAACATACAACTATACAATACAATTCAACAACATGATCCAGCCTAAAAAAAGCATTTACACTCCTCTGTAACAGTCTCCCATCAAACGTGTAGATGAATAATATTACATTGTATTGTATTACACACTTGAAACTCATTTCATGGATCCCTTGGTTAAAAGTCATTTAATCTGTTAGTAATATTCATTTAAAAAATGAAATGAAATGCAGTACCGCCATGGACCCTACTTTGAGAACCCTTGGTCTAGACTACTTCTTCTGTTTGTCTCCTGATTTAAATATTATCAACTTGTTTGTCAAATCTATTTGATTGACTTTCTTGAACACAGGGTTTTAAATACTGCATTATCTTCAAATGCCATAGTATATAGGCCATGCTTCCGTTCTGCCTTTTCAATAAATACACCAACTCCATCCCTGGACAGATGGACTCAAAGATAGCACAAGGAAACGAGGCTGATCGAGGGTGACTTTGATTGTTTCTCGCTCTCTCTTTCTCCCCTCTCCTCCCCCCTTATCTTTCTCCCCCTTTTCCCTTTTTCTCCCTCTGCTCTAGTAGATTCATTTTGCTCAGTATTTGTGTGTGTGTGTTTGTACAGCTCCTTTAGTGTACGACTTTGCAGTATGGATGATTTTGGCCTGGAGCATCATCCAGAATAAATTCATGTCATGCCCTCTGCCTGTACCCTGTGGGGCTGTGTGTTGTGTGTGTGTATGTGTGTGTGGGTGTGTCTACTGGGACAGATTACAGGATTGCCTCTCTGGCTTAAAGAAGCTCCGGATAATTGTCATTCAATTTTGATAAAACATTATTCTGTTCAAGTCTCTTTGCTCAGGTGTGTTTATAGGTCCATACTTCCAGTCAAAAGGCTGAACCCTCTACCATCACAATGGTGATGCTGTAGGGATAACATCCTCTCTATGTCTTAAGGCCTCAGGTAAACCTTACATGATGATTGGATAAAGGATTAAGGTTAAGTTAATTAGCCAATGTTCGCTAAATGGTATTATAATGACTCGTTAGGCCCAACAATGACCCTGTTTATTTAGACGTAAGAAAGTCACTTTTTAAAGATGAGAAACATCCAAAAACACAAGAGTTCTGGCCAGAGGTGAGGTTCTACAAAGCTTTGTATAGCTGGAGTGGTACATTAGTTCTCTTGAAGCCAGATGATTCCGGACCTACCGTTACGCTCATTTACACTGAACTGCACTGGGGTCGGAACGCCATCATGGTTATATCAAGATATGAGTCAGAAAACGTACCTCAATGCAGGGATGAGATATGCCACTGCACTCCATATTTTAACTTTTCCAAACTGATACATCAACAAGGCAGAAATACTACAATTTTTTTCTGGAAATATGCCCTTTTCATCCTCATGCTAGCTAGCAATAGCCACCGGAGCCATTTTGGAATGGCAGTGTCAGCCAATCAGCTCCTTTGTTGTTCAATGCGATGTACCATTTCATAATGGCTGCTGTGAATACTGCTACCTAGTATGAGGACGAAAAGAGCAGTTTTCAGGGAAAACTAGCAGTATTTCAATCTTCTTGATGTGTCAGCTTGGAAAAAGTACAGTGGCATAACCCATCCCTGAATTGAGGTACACTATACAGTATATACAAAAGTATGTGGACACCCCTTCAAATTAATGGATTTGAGCCCCCAGCCATGCAATCTCCTTGAGCCCCCAGCCATGCAATCTCCATAGACAAACATTGGCAGTACAATGGCCCATACTGAAGAGCTCAGTGACTTTCAACGTGGCACCGTCATAGGATGCCACCTTTCCAACAAGTCAGTTCGTAAAATGTCTGCCCTGCTAGAGCTGCCCCGGTCAACTGTAAGTGCTGTTATTGTGAAGTGGAAATGTCTAGGAGCAACAATGGCTCAGCCGCAAAGTGGTAGGCTACACAAGCTCACAGAACTGGGACCGCTGAGTGCTGAAGTGCGTAGCGTGTAAAAATCGTCAGTCTTTCGTTGCAACACTCACTATGGAGTTCCAAACTGCCTCTGGAAGCAACGTCAGCAAACAATTGTTTACCGGGAGCTTCATGAAATGGGTTTCCATGGCCGAGCAGCCGCACACAAGTCTAAGATCACCATGCGCAATGCCAAGCTTCGGCTGGAGTGGTGTAAAACTCGTCGCCATTGGACTCTGGAGCAGTGGAAACGCATTCTCTGGAGTGATGAATCATGCTTCACCATCTGGCAGTCCGACAGACTAATCTGGGTTTGGCGGATGCCAGGAGAACGCTACCTGCCCGAATGCATAGTACCAACTGTAAAGTTAGGTGGAAGAGGAATAATGGTCTGGGCTTGTTTTTCATGGTTTGGGCTAGGCCCCTTAGTTCCAGTGAAGGGACATCTTAACTCTACAGCAAACAATGACATTCTAGACGATTCTGTGCTTCCAACTTTTTGGTAACAGTTTGGGGAAGGCCCTTTCCTGTTTCAGCATGACAATGCCCCCATGCACAAAGCGAGGTCCGTACAGAAATGCTTTGTCAAGATTGGTGTGGAAGAACTTGACTGGCCTGCACAGAGCCCTGACCTTAACCCCATCAAACACCTTTGGAATGAATTGGAACACTGACTGCGAGCCAGGGCTAATCATCCAAAATCAGTGCCCGACCTCACTACTACTCTTGTGGCTGAATGGAAGCAAGTCCCTGCAGCAATGTCTAGTGGAAAGCTTACCCAGAAGAGTGGAGGCTGTTATAGCAGCAAAGGGGGGACCAACTCCATATGAATGACCATGATTCTGGAATGAGATGTTCGACGAGCAGGTGTCCACATACTGGTCAAGTAGTGTACGTTTTCCAACCCATATCTCGCGCCTGCTCTGCGGTGACTTAATATAACCATAATGGCGTTCCGACCCCAGTTTAGCTCAGTGTAAACAAGCATAACGGTAGGGTCAGAATCATCTGGTTAGTTCTCTTGGTGATGACTAAGACCGCTCAATGCACAGAAGATTGACCATGAAAATATTTATGATGAATCTCTCGCGGTTGTTGTGTGGCTTTGTTTGTTCAGAGAAATACCATGCCATGTTAGCTTTGAAGCTTTCAGGGAACTCACTCCAGTTCAGTGCTGTAAGATCTGTCAATGTCTTGTGTTGATGATGCCCTTTGCTTGAAGCCATCGTTCAAATTGTGCTTGGATTATTTTGTATGGCCCATCGTTTGTTATTGTTACTTACATTGTTCAGTCCCCCTCGCAGATTGAACGACTTCAAAAAACCTGATTGTGGTGAAGATGAATGTGTCTTTGACCTAAAGAAGATTACATTTAGCATTTAAATAAAAATGTCTGATTATGCTGTGTTAATGGTCATTTCAAGAGAAACCTGACACCCTGATCCTGTGTTTCTGTCTGGGGGAAAGTTATTGTGAAGAGGCATAATAATCATCATGTGTTTGCTGTCAGTTCTGTTGGCTTTCTAACAAAGAGAAACACCTTCTTTCTGTAGCATTGACACTGCAACAGTTACATTAACAGTTACAGCAGTGCCCCAACCAACAGTTTCACCATAATAGAACAATTGCAAAGTGCAAACCAAACACATAAGAGAACAGAAATTATTCAACTCACCCACAACGACAGGAAGCACCTTCATGGCCTTCCTCTCTCGGCCATTAATCTTGGCCCTCTTCTTCTTGTGAGGGCCAGTTTGGGGGTGGAGGTTGTACCTAATGTTAGAGTAGGCCACCACCGTGGGCACGGGGCCGTCCTTGTACTCTGGAGATGTTAAGGAGTTGTTATAGGGGCGGTCTGGAGTGTCTGGTGAGGAGTTATTATAGGGGCCGTCTGGAGACTCTGGAGGGTAAGGGTCCAGCTCTTCCAGATTAATCTCCTTTAGCTCTGGCTTCATGTCTGTGAGCTCCTCCCTCTTGATAATGGGGGGTAGAGGAGGAGGCAGGGAGTCCAGCGGGGGCATGGAGGCAGTTGCGTCCTGGAACTTCCTACAGGCCTGGATGCTGCTCCTCAGCTTGGCCTTGCGTGCCTCCTCCCACCTCCTCAAGCCCCGGAACATGCCGCAGTAGAGAAGGAGCATGATGGGACAGGGGATGAAGAAAGAGCAGACGGAGGAGTAGACCACGAAGTTGTCGTCCTCCAGTTTACACTCTGTAGGGTCCCGCTGGGGGACGTTTTGGATGCCGAACATGACGGGTGAGGCCACTGCCAAGGCCAGGATCCACGTGGCAGAGAGCAGGAAGATCTGTCTCTGATCAACATGCTTAACATTGTAGTTGAGTGGAATGGAGACAGCAATGAACCTGAATGAATCACATCAAGCAGAGAAAAGATTGAGAGGAGCTGTATTCTCTTTGTAGAAGAGAGATATTTATGAATTAAATTAATGATTTACTTCGAGCTATCATTATATACTAAACAAAAATATAAACGCAACATGCAAAAATGTCAAAGATTTTACTGAGTTACAGTTCATAGAAGGAAATCAGTCAATTGAAATAAATTCATTAGGCCCTAATCTTTGGATTTCACATGACTGAGCAGGGGCGCAGACATGGGTGGGCCTGGGAGGGCATAGGCTCACCCACTTTATTACAGACAGAAATACTCCTTTCATCAGCTGTCCGGGTGGCTGGTCTCAGACGATCCCGCAGGTGAAGAAGCCGGATGTGTAGGTCATGGGCTGGCGTGGTTACACGTGGTCTGCGATTGTGAGGCTAGTTGGACGTACTGCTAAATTCATGTTGCGTTCATATTTTTGTTCAGTATAGTACAGGTGTGTCAAACTCATTCCATGGAGGGCCGAGTGTCTGCTGTTTGTTTTTTCCTTTCAATTTGTGTCCAATTAAGACCTATACAACCAGGTGAGGGGAGTTTTTAACTAATCAGTGACCTTAACTCATCAATCAAGAACAAGGGAGGACAGAAAACAGACACTTAGCCTTCCATGTAATGAATTTGACACACGTGTTCTAGTACATTACATTTGACACAAATACACCATGTACACTGAGTGCACAAAACATTAGGAACACCTTCCTAACATTGAGTTGCACCCCATATTTCCCTCAGAACAGCTTCAATTCCTCGGTACATGGACTCTACAAGGTGTCAAGTGTTCCACAGGGATGCTGGCCCATGTTGACTCCAATGCTTCCCACATTTGTATCAAGTTGGCTGGATGTCCTTTGGGTGGTGGACCATTCTTGATACACACGGGAAACTGTTGAGCTTTCATTTATTGCATTTTTTCCATTATTCCCATTTGTGTGAATGCTAATGTTTTCTTGGCAACAGGCAACACAGAGGCAACAAATACTTCAACAGGCCCCTATATATCTGCATGTCAGTGAGAGGCTATGCAACAGTGAGCAAAGAAAAGGATAATCATATCAGCTAATGATCCCATCTCAATGCTGGCAGTTTATCAAGATGGAAACATATTTTATCCTGAGGTTGTATGTTTTTTTTCTCTCTGCTTCATTTGTGCTTTCCGTTAAGACTGATTGCTTTCAGGGAGGAGGGGGGAAGAGAGAGATGACAGGTCATTGCTGGAGATGTGGTTATTTTCCTAATCTGATCTAGTGGAGGAGACACTATGACCTTTGACTTGGGCTGATAGCGAAAGCAGCAGGGGTCTCCTCCCTTGTACTGCTAAAGCTGCCAGCACAACTCCCAGCAAAGTGTTTTGGGAGAGAACATGTTAGTATTGGTATTCAATGGCTCAAACATTCGGACACAGGGTAGGAAAGTTAATTGGAATCCATAGATTATTTTAGTGAATTTGACCTTGACCTAGCTCAAAAATCACGACTATAAGTCGCTTTGGATAAAAGCGTCTGCTAAATGGCATATTATTATTATTATTAACAGAGAGTTAAAGGTCGATAACCTGTCGATGCTGATGGAGCAGAGGTTGAATATGGAGGCCGTACACAGCATCACGTCCATGGTCATCAGGCCGTCGCAGACATGCATGTTCATTGTCCATAGACCACCCTGGAACTGAAACAGAGCAGCAAACACACACGGTCAGACAGGCAACTTCACTGACCTTAAAAATAACTTTGTCTCTCTCTCAATCTTTCCTCGATTCCAAGCATCCTTTCTTCTCTTCTCTTTCTCAAAACACATGAAAGAAAGTAATTGGGTAATGACCTTCGATATGCTCCTTCAGTATGGTTGAGAAGGAGGCAAGGACATAGGATGCAAGGAATCACGGAAAGATTAATCGAGATAGAGCCAAGGTGTGCTGACGACTCCTTGCCCCTCCCTGCCCTCTAATCACTTCCACAAGGTCTTGCCCTTGGCTAGCATTCTGCACCCACCAGATTGGCTGTGTGTGAAATCAATTTCCTCATTAGCGCTGCTGCAGCTCTATCATAGAGCTGAGCAGAGTGAGGCCCCTCTGGCTGATTGGAAATTGCAGGCGTGGAGCACGTGCCAGTTATGACAAGTTTTGGCCTTGACAAAATTTAGATGATTTTAATGGTATTCTAATCACAAAAGCAATAAAGGAAGAAACCTTTTTATTGGCTTGTTCTTAATTGCTCCTCTCTCTCTGATTTGGCAGCCAGGTTGGGGACATGTGTTCACCGTCATGTAACATGATACATGTGGCTCTGTTCCAATACCATGTAAAACACATTTCTCCTTCCCCTTACGGAAAAACCACAAAGACATTTCAAATGTGAAATCATATAAAACCATGTGTTTTTGGAATATTTCACGTGATGATAATTCATATGAAGTTTCACATATGGATTTTCACATGTTGATGAACCTAACCTTTCACATGTGGATTCAAATTTTCACGTGCACATTTTTCAAATGAGATTTCACAGGTGATGCCCTGCAAACAAAAATGAGTCGTTAGGATACACACAAACAGTGCTTTAAACATACAATGATTTCAACTTACATATTTGACACACATGATTACATTGTGTCTTTTTATTTATACTAGGGCTGGGCGATATGGCCAAACTATATCACAATATTGTTCTAATTTTTGACAGTATGATGGTATTTTATGTTTTTAAATAATACAAGTTATTTATATGCTTCATGAGTAGTGCATGACCATAGGGTGGCAACAAATACATTCTAAGTGGTTTTACTGTGGCTTTCTCTCTTCGGATTGTTTTATCAAACTTCAACCAAAAATCATTTTCTGCAATTTCATCAATTTCTGTATTTCCTTCACTCATTATCATTTCATTTTTACATTTACATTTTCGTCATTTAGCAGACGCTCTTATCCAGAGCGACTTACAAATAGGTGCATTCACCTTATGATAGCCAGTGGGACAACCACTTTACAATATACATATATATATATTTATTTATTTATTTATTTTTTGGGTGGGGTAAGTGGGGGTAGAAGGATTACTTTATCCTATCCCAGGTATTCCTTAATGAGGTGGGGTTTCAAGTGTCTCCGGAAGGTGGTGAGTGACTCCGCTGTCCTGGCGTCGTGAGGGAGCTTGTTCCATCATTGGGGTGCCAGAGCAGCGAACAGTTTTCACTGGGCTGAGCGGGAACTGTGCTTCCGCAGAGGTAGGGGGGCCAGCAGGCCAGAGGTGGATGAACGCAATGCCCTCATTTGGGTGTAGGGACTGATCAGAGCCTGAAGGTACGGAGGTGCCGTTCCCCTCACAGCTCCGTAGGCAAGCACCATGGTCTTGTAGCAGATGCGAGCTTCAACTGGAAGCCAGTGGAGTGTGCGGAGGAGCGGGGTGACGTGAGAGAACTTGGGAAGGTTGTACACCAGACGGGCTGCGGCGTTCTGGATGAGTTTAGGGGTTTAATGGCACAGGTAGGGAGCCCAGCCAACAGCGAGTTGCAGTAATGCAGACGGGAGATGACAAGTGCCTGGATTAGGACCTGTGCCGCTTCCTGTGTAAGGCAGGGTCGTACTCTGCGAATGTTGTAGAGCATGAACCTACAGGATCGGGTCACCGCCTTGATGTTATTGGAGAACGACAGGGTGTTGTCCAGGGTCACGCCAAGGCTCTTTGCACTCTGGGAGGAGGACACAACGGAGTTGTCAACCGTGATGGCGAGATCATGGAACGGGCAGTCCTTCCCCGGGAGGAAGAGCAGCTCTGTCTTGTCGAGGTTCAGCTTGAGGTGGTGATCCGTCACCCACTGATATGTCTGCCTGAAATGCAGAGATGCGATTCGCCACCTGGTTATCAGAAGGGGGAAAGGAGAAGATTAATTGTGTGTCGTCTGCGTAGCAATGATAGGAGAGGCCATGTGAGGATATGACAGAGCCAAGTGACTTGGTGTATAGCGAGAATTTCCACACTATACCTGTGACGAGGTGTAAATGAAGGAGTCAGGCGCAGGAGGTAAAACACTGAAGTCCAGAGTTTATTTCATTTACATAAATAAAATGCACCCAGCATCGAAACGAAACATTAACATGGGAAAATATTCCACCTTGGCAACTACAAAATGGAAGAGTAGCTCAACAGAGCTACTCGCGCTCACAATAAACAATCACTCACAAAGACAAGGGGAACAGAGGGAACACTTATACACATACTAATTAGGGGAATGAGCACCAGGTTTGTGTGATTGACAAGACAAGACATGACAAGTGGAGTGATGAGAATGGGATCGGCAGTAGCTAGTAAGCCGGTGACGAAGAACACCGAAACCTTCCCAAACGAGGAGGGGAGGCAGCCTCGGCGGAAGTCGTGACAGTACCCCCCCTTGACGCGCGGCTACAGCAGTGCGCCGACCCCGGCCTCGGGGACGGCCAGGAGGACGCGGAGCAGGGCGAGTCGGATGGCAACGGTGGAAATCCCTCAACAGGGAGGGATCGAGGATGTCCCTCCTTGGGACCCAGCACCGTTCCTCCGGACCGTACCCCTCCCACTCCATGAGATACTGAAGGCCCCCCATCCGACGTCTCGAATCCAGTATGGAATGGACCGAGTACGCCGGGGCCCCCTCAATGTCCAGAGGAGGTGGAGGAACCTCCCGCACCGCAGACTCCTGGAGTGGACCAGCTACCACCGGCCTGAGGAGAGACACATGAAATGAGGGGTTAATACGGTAATCAGGGGGGAGTAACAACCTGTATGTAACCTCGTTTATCCTCTTCAGGACTTTAAACGGCCCCACAAACTGCGGGCTCAGCTTCCGGCAGGGCTGGCGGAGGGGTAGATTCCGGTTCGAGAGCCAGACCCAATCCAGGTACGAAAACCAGGTCCTCCCTGCGGTGGCGGTCAGCGTTCACCTTCTGACGACGCACGGCCGAAACCAGTAATCTACCGCAGGAGCCTCGGTCTGGCTCTGGTGCCATGGTGCCAGGACCGGTTGGTAACCCAAAATACATTGGAAGGGTGTTAGGTTAGTGGAGGAGTGGCGGAGAGAATTCTGAGCATATTCTGCCCATGGCAGGAACACCGACCACTCCCCCGGCCAGTCCTGACAGTAGGTCCGCAGGAACCTACCCACATCTTGATTCACCCTTTCCACCTGCCCATTACTCTCGGGGTGAAATCGAGAGGTCAGGCTGACCGAGATCCCCAGACGTTCCATGAACGCCTTCCAGACTCTAAACGTGAACTGGGGACCTCGGTCGGACACTATATCCTCTGGTACCCCGTAGTGCCGGAAAACGTGAGTAAACAGAGCCTCCGCAGTTTGTAGGGCCGTGGTGAGACTGGGCATAGGAAGGAGGCGGCAGGACTTCGAAAATCGATCCACAACGACTAGGATAATAGTGTTGTTACCTTGGGAGAGGGGAAGATCAGTAAGAAAATCAATACTAAGGTGAGACCATGGTCGTTGTGGAACTGGTAAAGGTTGTAGCTTACCCGCTGGGAGGTGCCTAGGTGCCTTACTCTGGGTGCACACTGAGCAGGAGGAAGCATACACCCTCACGTCCATAGCCAAGGTAGGCCACCAGTACTTCTCGGTCAGGCAGCGTATTGTACGACCGATATCTGGATGACCAGAGGAAGGTGACGTGTGTGCCCAGTAGATCAGACGATCACGGATAAGTGCAGGCACGTACTGCAGCCCAGCTGGACACTGCGGTGGAGATGGATCTGTGCGTAATGCCTGCACTATATCCGCGTCCATCGCCCATACTACCGGCGCCACAATGATGAGGCCGGGAGTATGGGGGTGTTGTCTCTGGGCCTCTCCTCTGTGTCATACAGCTGAGACAGTGCGTCTGCCTTCACGTTATTCGTACCCGGAATGTATGAGAGTGTGAAATCAAACCGGGTGAAGAAGAGGGCCCACCTGGCCTGGCGAGGATTCAGCCTCGCTGCCCGAATGTACTCCAGGTTATGGTGGTCTGTCCAGATGAGGAAAGGGTGTTTCGCCCCTTTGAGCCAATGCCTCCACACCGTCAAAGCTCGGACAACAGCCAGCAGCTCCTGATCACCAACGCTGTAGTTCTGCTCCGCCGAGCTGAGCTTCTTCGGAAAGAAGGCACAGGGACGGAGCTAGGATGGCGTGCCCGAGCGTTGGGATAAGACAGCGCCTATCCCTACCTCGGTCGCATCCACCTCCACTACGAACAGAATTGATGGATCGGGGTGAGCCAGTACCGGGGCGGAGGTTAATAGTCCCCGAAATCTACTGAAGGCCAAATCAGCCTCAGCAGACCAGCGGAGTCAGGACAGCCCACCCTTCAACAAGGAGGTAATGGGAGCTGTGACCTTGCCAAAGCCCCGAATAAACCTCTGATAGTAGTTGGCAAAGCCAAGGAAGTGCTGCACCTCCTTCACCGTGGTTGGAGTCGGCCAATTACGCACGGCTGAAATGCGATCTCCTTCTATCTCCACACCTGTGATAGTAATGCGGTATCCAAGGAAGGAGATTGACTGCTGGAAAAACTCACACTTCTCTGCCTTGGCATAAAGATCATTTTCCAGCAGTCGGACCAGTATCTTGCGAACAAGGGACACATGCTCGGCATGCGTAGAGGAATACACCAGGATGTCATAATAATAAATAATAATAATATGCCATTT